GCAGCGGAAAGGATTAATGATGGCGACGATGACGACAAGGAATCTCATGATTAGGAAAAGGAGGGGTAGCCCTCCCCCTCATTCTTCCGGATCTTCTGCCCTAGCCTTCCGCCCCTTTTTCGATATGATCTATGTTGGTCTCTTCTAACCACGTAAGGTTTCCATGGGTTTCGATGAATTCCTTCGCACCTTCCGCGGAGGTCGGAAGGTATGGATGCTGGAGGTGGAGGGAGGAGGGGAGGAAGAGGATGAGGAGGGAACATGGGACCGACCTCCCATGGGGGCCGGCGGCAGCTGCCTCGTCCGCGTAGATGCGCAGCTCCCAGCAGTTCCGCACCCGCACCAAGACACACCACCTCCACTGACCCGCGCAAGGCAGGGGCGCTGCTCGGGTGCCCAGGGGGAGGGTGGGTGGGTGGGTGGGCGCACGTCCTCTCTGGGATGGTGAGAGGAAGAGGAGGAGGAGGAGGAGGAGGAGGAGGAGGAGGAGGAGGAGGAGGAGGAGGAGGAGGAGGAGGAGGAGGAGGAGGAGGAGGACCAATGTAAACCCAAGACTCATCAACGATGTTGCAATATACCCTCCTTCCAAATGCCCTCTGCATAAGTCCCTAAAAGGATTCAATTTCACTGAGGGAAGTGTCCCGTTGGAAGAGAACATCCTGAACCGTGCCAGAGCTCCATTCCTGGGACGTCAACGCCACGAATCAACGTTGCTGTTGCGTCTTGACAATCCTGAACCGTGCCAGAAAACTATTCCTGGGACTTCAACACCACAGATCAACGTAACTCTTGCGCCCTGATAATCCGAGATCGTGTCAAAACACCATCTCTGGAACGTCAGCCGTACGAATCCTTGCAGCGGCTGTAAAATCTTAGGACGAACGTGCGCGGCGCCAAAACGATAACAACATTTTGAAACGGCGAGAACCGCATTTTGAAAACCGCCCGCCCTCCATGCGTGAAGCTCCTGCGAACTTTGGAAACGAATGTGCGCGGCGCTGAGGTGATAGCCACATTTTGAAAAAGACCCGCCTTTCATCTGTGAAGCTGTTGCAACTTCATAGTTGAAATATCAAAGTTGGCGAAGAACTCTCAAGCGAAACGCCCAGACAACCCTACCCACACTGACACGTCTCGGGGCGCGACGGGGATGAGTTGTTTTAAAAGGGAACGGGTGGATCAGAAGGAGGCGGAGGAGGAGGAGGAGGAGGAGGAGGAGGAGGAGGAGCAGGAGGATGAGCAGGAAGAGGAGGAGAAGGAGGAATCTGAGGAAGAGCAATCGCAAGAGAAAGAGGGGGAGGAGGAGGAGGAGGAGGAGGAGGAGGAGGAGGAGAAGGAGGAGGAGGATGAGGAGGGAGGAGGAGGACGAAGGGAAGGAGGAGGAGGAGGAGGAGGAGAAGGACGAGGAGGAGGAAGAGGAGGAGGAGGAGGAGGAGCAGGAGGAGGAGGAGGGAGGAGGAGGAGGAGGAGGAGGAGGAACAAGGAGGTGGAGGAGGAGGAGGAGGAAGAGGAGGCGGAGGAGGAGGCGGAAGATATGGTAGGGAACTTCGGATGGTTTTCTGATGAATTGTTCGCCATTCGGCGTTTCGACACTGGGCGGAAGGGGGAGGGGAGGGGGGAGGCGGTCTGGCTCCAGACCTTTGCTTAGTGCGACTATTTGGAGCAGTGCGTCCTATGGGGGAGACCCCACCTGCTCGAAGCAGGCGCCAAACCAAGCCAAGATCTACTCCATGGGGGCGGGAGGGGGGGAGGGTGCGAAGGCCCGCCGCGCCGATCGGCAAAACAACGAAAAAGAAAACGATCACAAGCGTTAGACGGTTGGATTGGTTTTCTGGCATGCTCTGCTTCTTCTGCGACGAGAAGGGGACGAGGAGGGGTAGGAAAAGGGTGCTCCTCGTCGTCGTCGACCTCCTTCTCCTCCTCCTCCTCGTCCTCCTCCTTCTCCTCCTCCTCTTCCTCTCTGCTCTCCCTCCTCTTCCCCCTCCTCCTCCAACTCCTCCTTATTCCCCAGGCAGTGCTTGCACTTAGGGTTCTTGCTTCCCTTAGAAGGAACTCAGCCGCCTGCAGTCCCCGCTCTGGCCGCTGTCGCCGCCGTCGCCGCCCCTTCGCCGCCCGTCGCCTGAGCCTGCGGGCCGCCCTGGCCGCCATGTGGCCGCGGACCCCCGACACAAGCACGACCACGACGACGACGAGTCCACTTGTGCCACCTGGCGACAGTGGCGGCGGCAACTCTACTGGAGATGATCATCTCCCCCCTCCATCCACCCGCGACCCCTCTCCCAGCGACGCCTTCTCTTCCCCCGACGGCCCCCCCCACCGCTACAACGCTACGCTACGACCTCCCACGCCCCCCTGTACCACCACTCCCCCAGGCGGCCCCCGCGACCCTCCTGCGCGGACCGACGACCCCCACGCCCCCCCCCCCCCGACAGTCCCCAAGACGGCCGCGCCCCGAGTGGCCGCATGCCCTGAAAAGGAGCCTGTGGGGGCATACCTGGGGAATCGCCTGGGGAATCGGTCACAGGGGCAGCCGAGGCAACTCCTTGACGGCTGGACGGCCCAGAGGACGAACGAGGTGGTGAGCCGCCACTTCTGTAAATCAATTGCCGGAAGCTTGGGAACCAGGAGCCACCTCGCCAAACCTCCCCCCCCCCGCAACCTCGCCCTCCGCCTCGAGCTTGTTTTTTCTCTTGCCCGAGCCCTCGCCACCAACTGCTGCCAACGCTTCTTTTGCGCTCTTGGCTCAGAGGGTTAGGTGCTACAACCGGGAATAACAAACAAACAACGTCACTTTCGACTCCCGACAATGCTTCTCTCTCCGAATGCTTCAATTGCTATTTGGGTTCCGCGAGAGGTGCAAGGGTGAAACGTCGAACCCCAGAAGAGGGCGACTGCGCAACCAGCAGCCACAACGTTCACCCAGTTCCTCGCCCACCTCCTTGCTCTTGTTATGACTTTTATATGTGCCCACTCCCCTCCCTCTCTTCCCCATTGTTTGTTGTCAATTTACTATGTCACTACCACCGCCAGTTATCCACTCGAGACGCCTGGCAAACTAGTTGGATCTCTCATCGCAGGGTCGCATGGCCACGATCGGAGAACCCAGAGACCGAGAGAGAGAGAGAGACAGAGAGAGAGATGGATACATATATATATATATATATATAGAGAGAGAGAGAGAGAGAAAGAGAGAGAGAGAGAGGGAGAGAGAGAGAGAGAAAGAGAGACAGAGAGAGAGAGAGAGGGAGGGAGGGAGAGGAGGGAGGATGAGGAGGCGGAGGAGGTGAGAGGTGGAGGAGGAGGGGGAAGGAGTGGGATGAGGGGGAGCAGAATAAAGAGGAGGAGGTGGAGGAGGATGATGAGGAGGAAGAGGAGGAGGAAGAGTAGGGGGAGGAGGAGGACCAGTGCAAACCCATGACTCATCAACGATGTTGACATGCACCCTCCCTCCAAGATCCCTCTCCATATGCCCTTATAGCAGGGTCACTTACACTGAAGGAACTGCCCCATTGGGGGACAGCCGTGTGAACATCTTGAAACGTTCCAGGACACAATTCTCAGGACTTCAACGCCACGTGTCAACCTGACGGTTACGTCTTGGCGATCCTAAACCGTGCCAGAATACCATTCCTGGGACTTCAGCACCGCGAATCAACGTAGCCGTGGCGCACTGACAGTCATGAATCGTTCCAGAACGCCATTTCTGGTAGGTCAACCATGAGAACCAGTGATATTCTTGCAACTGTGTAAAACGAGTGTGCGCGGCGCTCAAGCGAGAACCAGCATTTGTGAAGGACCCGCCCTCAATCCGTGAAGCGCTTGCCACTTTTCAAATCGAATCGGTGCGGCGCACAAGCGAGAACCACAATCTGAAAACGAGCCGCCCTCAACCGTGGAACTCTTGTCATTTTTTTTTTTTTTTTTTTAAAAAAAAAAAAAAAAAATGTCCGCGGCGCTAAAGCGAGATCCACATTTTGGAAACGACCCGCACGCACTCCGTGAAACTCTTGCGAATTGTTGCCACGAGTGCGCGCGGCGCTCTGGCGCGAACCACACTTTGAAAACGACCCGCCCCGAATCCGTCAAGCTCTTGCAATTTTCCAGACGAGTAGGTGCGGCGCGAAGGCGAGAGCCACGTATTGAAAACGGCCCGCCCTCAATCCACGAAGCTCTTGAAAACCTTGGAAACGAATGTGCGCGGCGCTAGGGCGAGAACCACATTTTGAAAACCGCCCGCCCTCAATCCGTGAAGCTCTTGCGAGTTTTTGTTTAAACAACGAACGTGCAGGTTGGACACCACATGTTTTAATCAATTGTATTGCTTTTTGTGACAACTTTAAGCATCAGGGTCATAGATGGTGCAGACGTCTCAAGCGAAACGCCGGGTCCGTCCTTTCGACTGGCCTCGGGGTGCAACAGGGAGTTGTCTACAAGGAAAGGGAATGGAGGAGGAGGGGGAGGAGGAGGAGGAGGGGGAGGAGGAGGAGGACTCTGAGACTTTACGCTTCCTTGAAGGGTGGAAGGTCCCCAGGTGGTTGGGCATGGAACGGAATCATGATGTGCCGAATTGGGGGGTGTAGGAGCACGGCGAACCCTGCTGGGGGCACGCGTCGTGCCGGACCCTCACGGATGGGGTTCTGGCCCACTCCCAGTCCGCACATGCGGACTCTGCGGGTGACCAGGGACAAAGGATGGGGAAGCACCGGGGCAAGGATGGATGGATGTGGATACCACCGAGGGGCAAGTGAAAGAGGAGGGCAGGAAGGGCACAAAGCAAAAGCGGGGGAGAGAGAGAGGGAAAGAGAAAGAGGGAGAGAGAGAGAGAGAGAGAGCGAGGGGAAGAGAGAGAGGGAAAGCAGCGGATATAGTCGAGGAGGCAGGGAAGGAGGGCAGGATGGGCGGACGGGGAAGCGCCAGACGAGTCCAGAGGCAAGATAAATGGGGGACCAGACACGATGCTCCAGAGGCTGGGATGGGAGGTGCATGGTGGCACGGGCACTATTTTCCCTAAGCTTGCGTGGTTCCCAGGTTTGTAGTGCGCAACGCTGCCAGCCTGACGGGCTGGCTCACCTGCGCCACGCCGACCGCCGAAGCGGCGTGAAGTGCCCCTGTGACGGCCACCCAGACCCTCCCCCTCTGCCCTGCCCCTCCCCTTGCCTGGTGCACAGATAATTGAAAAAATAGAGAAAGAGGACAGCGCGGAACTACGGACGCAGCAGGGTGGCAAGGGACATGTACTCCTCCATGCACCTCGCTGGCCCTTTCTTAAAACCAGGATGCTGGCCCTTCGAGAACCTGTCCCAGGAGTATCGCGCCCCGTTGGAGGCGAAGCGAGGCTTGCACTCCTCGCCTAGTT